AGATGAAGATCTTGAAACTACCGAGACACCTGTTGCACGCGGTGAATGAAATTCGACGTTCGTTAAGCATTTAACGTCGAGCGAAGCTCGAAGAAGGCGCAAAGCCCCTGAAGGCGACGACGTATTTCTTTGTAACAAGGCAAACATTCAGGTTTCTCTTTGCGGAGGCCTTTTCAGGGCTACGCCAAACGAACATCGATACTGTCGACGATAATGGTGATTCTAACGGCGGGCTCGCTCTCTGCCTTGTGCGAGTCGCCGACAAACCCTCGTCCTTCGACGGAAATTGCATAGCTCTCTCTGGACGGCTCTTTTGTCGCTGCAACAGCTAACGACCTACACACCGGTCAATTGGCTCTGTGAGAAAATTCTCCGAATGCTTAATTTAGAACATCGATCCTCTTCGCCCCTAGAAGTGCGTTTCGTATCGATTAAAAGCAGCATGAATATCGATGTAATTAACGAATAAAAGTAGACTGAACGCGTAATTGTTTCTCTGATTAGCTCTTCTTTCTTTCTTTCTTTCTTTCTTTTCTTTAATTGGCTGTCGTAGATTCTGAATTCGAGTCGGTTTAATCGTAAGTCTGCGAAAATGTTTGTTTAATCACGTTTGGATAAGAATAGGAAAACAATTGCGAGAGAAGCGCGCAAGAATTCTCTGAACTTTGCGGCTACGAATTCCTAATAGAATCCTATCGTCGTAAGCAAATACTCTCGGGGATAGCGAAATAAGTCCCTCGACCACGTCGAACATCTTGGAGAAGAAGAAACATAGACGAACAGGCCTCGGACAGAAGGCCATTGGTCGAAACAGAATGTTTTTATCGCTAGACGCTAATGAACCGTACAAGAAGACAAAACATGCCAGTTTCGTTACGAGCAATAAGTGAAATTTCCATGAAGCAATCAACGTGCCGATTACCTATTCTTCATCCGTACCTGCGGCGTTTCTATGCAAACGCGATGAAAATACCGTCGTAAGGTTCCCAAGCAGGCTGACCCAATTCGTCGATCACTATCATCTGGAGCATAGCGACGAGCTGACTCATTGTCAACGAGCATCGAATAAATCAGCATCGTCGATCGATTGCGCGGTTTGCTCTGCCATTTAATTCGACGATCGTCTTAAAGACGGTGCGGATTCGATAATTTCCCATCAAAGGCTCGATCAGAACAGGTCGAAACGGTCGAAAAAGATGCCGAGAAAAGGAAATACGCTGATTATGAATTAAACGCGAATAAATTTACGAGATAAACATCCCACGCTCTGTATGCTAAATCGGATCTCACGTGGTCGAAATAAAGAAAGCGAATAAGTGCGGCGAACGATTTTTCGTTCGCTGAATTTTTCTCGTTTCTCTCCTGTTCTGCGATGCTAATGAAAAAAGATAGCCGGCCATAAATCAAGCAACGCGGTAAAGAATGGACCTTTACGAACCCGCAGCCCTGCCGCAACGGTTCCTCCGCGTCTTTCCCGCTAACTCTTTGTCTTGCGAACGCACCGTGCGTCGTTTAACACATAATAGGAGCTTTGTTGTTATTTCAAACGTACCACCGTGAAACAACGTGTTATTAGGAATGCTATTTTCAGCGTGCAGAGTTCAAAACAACGCTCGCACGCCTGATCGTCGAAACACTCCAAGTTACCAAAGTGCAAAGCTTGCATCTTTGGATTTGCATAAAAGTCGACGGTCTACCGATCGGTGTTTGCTGTTTAAGCCTCAACCGCCCCTCGTTTTCGCGACCAATATGTCCGCGAAATTGACACGATGGTAAAACGAAACATCAACGAGACGAAAAGGTAAATAATTAATTTCTCTCTTTGTCGTTCACACGCGTTCGAACCAATTTTCCCTCGGAGCTGTCGGATTTCATTCGCGCGTCGGGGTCAACGCGTTTCGGAGAAATTGTTCCACGAATGGCCGAATATCGTGATCTTTTACCGGAAAAGCGTGGCAAATTGCGTGAACTGTGCGTCGACAAGACGAGGAAATATTTCGTCCTCGTCGAAATCGTAAGAACGTTCGCGAGAGCAGATCGTCCGCTAAAGCGGAAAATTCTCGTCGCTTCGCGTGCGAAAGCAGAGCATCGCAGAGCTTGTGCATCGCGATTCTCTCCAAACTTGTGCCTCGAAGCGTGGCTTCGTATACGTGACCATCTTGATGACTCGCGCGGCGTTAACACGCGTGCAGTTAGCGCGGTCGTTGTTCCGAAAAAAGAGCAGACAGAATGGTTGCACGATACTTCCCACCGAATCACCACATCGGATGAACCCTTAACGGTGCATCCAGCAACGCGGCATTCCCCCGCCTCGGGATTTTCAATTCGACTCGCCGAACAAACCGGCAATCTAATCGTACACGCGACGCCTGGCATTCGATCCTGTGCTCGATACGCGATTTTAGTCAACACAGAGCCTGCAGCGATCGACCAGGTGAGATAGCGTTAGCGGTCGGATCGCTCGCTTATCGACACGCGTTATCGTCGCGACGTTTCGTGAAAACCACCCTGATATCTTTGATTACGTCCATCGGTAACGCGATAGCGTAATTTGTTGGACAGGATTTTGCCATGGTATTAGGAAAAGCGTTCGGTTCGATCTTCCAAGACTTTGGTCGATAATAAGATCCTTCGATCTTGCAAGACGAACCTGGAATCATCGAGGATTGATTTCTTGTCCCCTGACACGGAAGACAAGCAACAAAGGGACAAAGGGATCGTCTTTCAACGGCGTGTTCGAACATTGGCCTTCGTAACTTGCTGAAGAACTGGCTCGAAATCAGCTGAGAAACTTTCTTCGTTAAATGGACGCGAGAGACAAACGAGGGCTAGAACAAACCTTCTTACACCTGTGCTTCTCGCTTCTAGTCGGATAACGTAAAATCGGAATTGTAGGGTTTGATTTACGATAGCCGTCGCGAATTATCAGAGACGTCATCCGAATGAATCATCGGAGGAAATTAAAAATTGAAATTGACAGTCACGTTTTCTCTCGCTGCTACCATCGACCAATTCGTAGCCGCCGTATGCGCTTGATAGTATTGAACGAAAACAAAGGATCGAACGTATCCTATGGGATAATGATATTCAGATTGCGTCAGAGCGTGCTGTTCGGGGATTCGGTTGCCCGTTTTTAAAGGCAACGACCTCAGCGTACACATTGACTTGTCCATCCCGCACGGCCATGAAGTTTCTATCGTACTCCGTGAGCGTGAAATTATTTTTCACCCTCGATCAAGTCGTTAACTTCGCATCAGCGTCAAGCTGCGTTGAATCACCGCGAGATCGTGACAGATGTTAAAAGCTATTTCTATAGACGCGACCTTCGACATCTCGTACGCGTACCCACACGTGTACTTAACACATCGTTGGCCGGATACGGCCAATTAATCAACAATTGATCGATCGTCGCGACACTTGCATGCATTTTTCCCGCTCTAATTGCAAGTTGATTCTTTATATTTAACTACAATTTCTATCGCCTATGGAAATAACAGACTACGATTGTTGCAAGTATAGGCAGTAAAATAGCGACAGACGGGTGAAAAGAAAAATATCGCAATCTCTTTGAACAATCATTATCGTGGCGAAGTATAAATAATTAACCCGAAACTTGTTCTTCGAGACGTTTTTCCTTTTTTTCTCGCGTGTATCGAACGTTGATTCGGTGATTTCACGCATGGTTTCTGTGATAAATCTCGCGTCGCAACGGACCGTGACGAACGTTACAGCACGTTCCATTGCACGGATGCGTTTTTCCATCCTTCAGACTTTGGTAAGAATAACGCGAAGCTGGCTGGTTGGTCCACTGACCGAGCCAACTGCTTTTTTCTTTGCCTTGACTTCGATTATGTATGCCAGCGTACGCATAAATTTTATTTCCTCGCAATTGGAATGTACGTTCGTAACCTGATCACATTTTTAACGCTTCTTATACACGATGAGTCGTGTAAATTTCTACGAATGAAATAGTATAGTGTCCTGAATAGAGTTTCGTATCGTTTCTTCTCTTTCTTCTCATTTCGTCGAAACACGCTAACCGTGGTATTACCGAGGTACTTTTAAATCGATCTTTACAGACAAGTTGTATATTCTCAAAATCATCATCGTTTCTCTAAACGGAACGTTCTAGCTCTTATTATAAACGATTAACGATAATGTACGACGAGCGAAGGTAACGATTATATCAGACGTTATATCGTAAACTTAATTTACCAAGCGGTGCTGTGCAAAATGGCACGGATGGAATAGAAATCCAAATGAATATTAGTACCTTGTACTGTTTCATGACCTTCGAATAACCTTGACAGACAACGCTTATTTCTCGCGAATAGAATCATAATAATAGTAATAACGATTACAGCGAACTCGTAGTGTTTTTCACGATGTACCTTCGACACAGATAGAAGCCAATATTCCTAACAAATTACACAATCTATCGAAATGAGAATGCAGAAAAATCGATGAGCAACGTTTTAGACGATTGTTGTAGCACTTGTAATATCGAGGATCTGGCACTATGATCAAAATCGTATTAAATCATCGTTATTGACTCGCACACGACTATTCCAATTATCATATTACATTCGCTGGATCGTCGAACGAAGCGATATAGCGCTAAGTTTTCACGGTTTGTTTCGCCGTGCTTAACTTTGGAAACATTCTCCTGTTTCTTTTTCTTCTTTTTTCTTTTTTTTTTTTTTTGACATTCCTTCTCGACTCCAATACCGTTACTACGTATTGCTGTACGATGCTGACTAAATTTATTACGCGTTCCGATTATCGAATCGTCGAATAACAGCGACCAGTTGCTCGATAAATACGTTCTACTTAAATACGTTGTATCAAGGAAACAGCTGGCTGCGCTTAATAAGCCGCAAATGTGTTGGCGGACGTAACATCTTATTGATATCGTATCATCCACATTTTATGAAAATGTTCGTTATCGATACTATGGTGCATTAAATGCTGTTAAATTATATTTTCTTCTTCGATTGCAGAATGATTATTATTTACCACCGCGGTCCACGTGGTCCAGAGTCTCACCTGAACACACGAAGAAACAAAGGGGCAACAGTACATGGAAAGTCGGCAGTGCGATGTTAATCATCTCTGCTATGTTGGTATTAATCGCGGTGTTCGCGATTGCAGGACTTGCGCTATGGATGGGAGGTTCGTTGGCGTCTTTATGTTACTCGTAGCGATCTATCGTAAGAACAATTGCATTAAATATCGATCGAACCGAAAGATGTTTATGAACGAATGAATTTTGTTTTTCAGCCCTTCGGACGGATTCGAAAAATGGTAAGCGCCGATCTAAAGTACAATGGAATGTAAAATTCGAAAAAACATAATTTTTCTTCGTTCGTAACAAAATTAATTGCTAATGAGAAAATGAATATCAGTAACGTTCGTTGCGATAATATTTACAGCGATCGTTGGATTCTCCTGCATGTTCAGGGTGTCTAAGGGTGAGAAATATAATCCGATGTTGAAGCTGAATACCAGTATGGTGTTCCGTGAAAAGGAACGAAAATATAAGAATATAGTAAGGATGACAATTGTTATAGTAATTTCTAGAACTCCGTTTACATGAACTCCGTTTATAGAAATTAGTATAAATTCCGTTTCCTGATCTCTTAAAGATTATCTACGAGTACCCGATGAAACTCGAGTCGTAAATTGTTTGTTCCTCGACAAGTTCATATAAATAGAATTCTATCCTGCGAAGATTATGTAAATTATCTTTTGCAAATAAAAGAACCAATAATTGAAAATTCCTTGGTAATTTTCAGTTCGAAGTACTATTTAGAAGAAGCGTGTTCGGCGCAGCTTACAAACAAACGATCATAGACAAATTCGAAAGCGGTATTCTAAAGGTGTTCTTCAGGATATATCTGGACAGAAGAAAGATACCGCGATCGATCACGAACGTCGAGGACACAATCGAAGACATTATCGCGAAGGAGACGTACTCATCGTCCTCCTTGTTCAAGGATATGGAACTGGACCTCACTAGCATATCGGTAAAAAGTGAGTATCCGCTGGAAGTAAAGATTAATCGTGATAAAACAGTAACATGGTAATTACACGATTTCCAATTTAATCGTTTGGCTATTATTCATGAAATATCAAGATTCTTTTAAATAAAATTCAAGCTGCATCTCTCGTACGAATATTTCAGTCAATATTGAAAATTACAATGCTCGCGTGAAATATACATAGGATAATTAAATAAAAGAAATTAAGACGAATCAAAGTTTACGGTTTAAGAATAAAAAAAGAATATAAAACATTCATTTCGAAAATTATCGTCGCTATAACGAGACAGCGCACACATTCACGAAATATCCGTTTCCTCTACATCTAGGAATAAATCAGGAGTTGCCAGGGAGTCAAAAGCAGGTTCAGCAAAAGAACGCAATGATCACGAAGAACGGCTTGCTTCGACCCAACAGAAACAGCTCTTTGATCACCAGCTCGAAGCCGAAATCCAAACCAACGAAAATCGAGTCCACGGAGCCAGACATCGACTTCAGTAACATACCGACGATCCAAGGCACCTATAAAGCGACGAAAGTGAACATCACTTCCTCGAACAAAACGATCTCCGTTCAACAGCCTGCAAAGGCTCAGTCAGAAACGAAAAACAATACCAAAGCGTCGTTACCTCAAGAACAAACTACGATGAAACCGACCACCGTAGAAGACAGTACCGAAACAATGGCGGGTGTCGCTGAAACCACCAACGAAACAGACAAGAAAGTTAATTACACCGTTCACGATGAATCGTCTTGGTCGAAAAAGGCCACCACATCCACAGCTTCCACGCCCGAAGTCGGAAACGACGATCTGTTCAAGGATTTCCGCAATCCAAGCTTCGAAACTTCTCCGTGGAAGCCTATCATACCTGGATACATCAATACGGAATTAAAATTATTGCCGGACAACGCTCAAAAGCCAAATTACAAAAGCGAAACCAACTATAAAGTGAATTACGGCAATACGAATCTGGGAGACGTTGCCTCCGGTACAGCCGTAAAGAGTCCTCAGTATGGCGTTCACGCGAAGGTTGCACAGTCTTCGACAACCAGCACGAAATCTCCCGAGCCAGCGGTGATATTAAATTCGTATATAGGTGTTCCAGGAATGAGCACGTTGGACATTAGCGACACTGATTTTCCACGCGATAGAATCGTTCCTCAGGAAATGGTGAATTTCAGGGTAAACGGCAAGTTTAAGAATAAGATTCCAGGATTGTTAGAAGGTGGGCAGATCTTCACGGAAGCTTCCCCGGTCAGTTTAGACGACCAGAGACCGGACATAGAAGTTTCTGGCCAGTTACCACCGGAAACTTACGATATCAAGCTTCGAACTTCTTCTCAGCCTTTTGGCCTCTCCTCTTCCCAGCCTTTGGAATTTTCTTCCACGAAACCTCATCGATCGACGAGCGAGAACGAAACAGGTTGGAGGATCCCTGCATCTCAGATGACGTACACGATGACAGACGGTGGACCCGCCGATGGTCCTGTTAGCAAAGAGCAAGACGACGTTAAGAGTTCTGGCGATTCCACGAAGATGAATAGAAAGAAGTTAGGTCAAACCACCGTGATAGGGGCCTCGGACAATTTCTTGCCTTCGATGGTTTCCAGTACTCCGAAGTGGCACGCGCAGAGTCCGCCGGGGGCAGATTTCGACGAAGAATCGACGACAAAAGTGTCCGGAGTTGGAGTGGCAGAGCCTGTCCCGGACGTGGACGTGGATTTGGAAGCCAGAAATCGGTACTCGGATGTTCAGGCTATGGTGAAGCAAGAGAGTAACGCTCTGCAGGACAGGAAAGTCGATAAGAACGCGCAAGAACCTGTGTACACCAGTTACAAGACGCCCGACCTGAATGGAGCTGGCATGAGACCAAGTTTGATCGAAAGTTCTGGAACTCCGAAGCCATTCAGACACACGATTCCCGTGGACAAAATTACTTCTGTCGTTGATTACACCGAGGCTGACAAAGAAGGCTCCTTGAAGCAGGTAATCAACACCGTGACGGATAGTATAATGAATCAGGAGGAAAGATTCACCGAAGAAACCAGTGATTTGATCACAGAGAACAAAGGGGATCAGGAAGGGGCAATTAAAGTGCTACCGGTCAGAGAGAATGAAGAAGAAGGAACGAAGGTGCTACCAACTAAAGAAAATTTGAAGGAAATCATCGAGCTAGAGACTTTCGTGAAGAAGAACAGCGATTCCGAGGCAGATATTTCTCTTGAAAATGCAAAGATCGAAGAATACGCAAGATCAACCGAATCGAATACCGAACGTGTAATAGACGATGAGAAGCTTCTGAAGTTAGGAACGACGGAAGTCTACTCGGAGATGATACATCCATTGTACAATAATATAGATAAATTAGTCGTGAAAAAGGAGGAGAATAAAGGGGCTCCGGGAAGGTTGACGTCTAATATTTCAAGAAATTCTACGTTCATCGAGATCGATACCTTGAAGCACACACCTGGGGAGGTCGAGGATGATTCTGACTCGACGGGGAACAAATCGGCGACGAAAGGTGAAGACAACCGGCCTTTCAACGGAACCTTGAGTCGGCCGTACAATTCCCTGGAAACTAGAAAGAAGACTTACAACGACACTTTGAAGGCGTACGTGGTGGAGAATTTGGTCACTCTGGCGCCTGCTAAAAGTAATACAGGAATTGGAAGACCTGTCAGACCAAGACCTAAGATAGAAGGGGAGAAGACGATGAGAATCGACGAGAAGCCTAACACAGACAGAAGCTCCACTGACGACAGCCTGCTCTTGGAACAATTGTTCGGTGTCCGCAATCGACAGAGAAACGCGACGAAACGCAATTCGTTTAATCACGGTGACTCCGTTAGGTTTCATTCGGCGGAGAACGAGAGGAACAGGGAGGGAGATTTGCATAACGAGCATCCTAGAGTCGAGCAAATCGTAGAAGTCGTGACGTCGATTAGCACTAAAGTGTCGTCGAACTTTAAAGGAAACCCAGTCGTGTTGAAATTTGTCGTTACCAATTCAACCTCGCTTCCGATAATTCGTTCAGAGTCCCATCAGAATGCTGACGAGACGTTCACTTCGGAAGCATCAGCACCGAAAGAATTTTCTGCTCCCAACGACGGAGGAAAAGAAGAAAATAGATCTTTCAGAGATGAGACTTCGAACAAGGCACCGTCTTTAACGTCCAGCGATGTGCAAACGTCCGACAGAAAGATCTCTACGATGGAGGAGAATAAATCTCTTTTGGAGAAATTGAAGGAGTTGGCGGATATCGGAACGGAGAACGAGCCTGTGCATAGCAAAAATAGTTCCAGGCCGAGTGTCGACGCGTTAAAATCGCATACGTCGAACGTAAAGTCGAAACCGCCGGACGATCATAGGCCGTTGCCGAATTTTGAGAAATTGAAGCAAATCGCTGATATCGCGACCGGAAACCAGACCTTGATGAATTCGAGCGCGGCATTTACGATGACTCGCGACGGCGTTGAGATATTGACCAAGATATTGAACAAAATGGAGGATCGCACCGATAAGATGATCTCTAGCACCGAAGAGAATTTGGAAGCTGGTAATTATTTCCTTGAGATTTGCTATCCTATTTGATTTCCTATCGAGAGGATGGTATCTATCGTTCTGATATATTTCTGATATATTTTTTCTATCTTAATGAAACAGTATGCAAGTTTATTTTTTGTAGTCTCTCGATAACGTTGTACAACGCGTTTTTGCAGATCACTGTCTCGGTTTCCTATGCAAAGACGGAAAATGCTTGCCTTCCAGCGGCAGGTGCAATATGTTAGGTGAATGCCCGAATTCGGAGGACGAAGCGAACTGCACGTGCGCCGACTTTCTAAAAGCGCAACTCTTACACGAGAAAATTTGCGACGGTGTGGCGGATTGTTGGGATTATTCGGACGAAACGGATTGTGGTATTTATCAGTCGATCTTTCAATCGTGTTTTCCTGTCGTTGGAAAATCGTCACTCGATTCGAGGAAAGTTAAAGAAGTCGTTAGCGATATACGTAACTGTTCAATCGTACGTGAAATATTTTCTTAACGCATTGTAGGCGTGCTCGTTTATTAAAACGAGGACGAGATTGCGATAAAAATTCGAGGACTATGGCAGGATTAACATGTTCGAAAATACAGCAATTAATAAACTCGTTAGAAATATAACAATTCACGCTAACAAAATCCTAGTTGATTCTGTACTTGGTAAAGATTTATCGATAATTTTCTAACTCGATAGATTGGTGCCAAGAAGGCCAATACGTCTGCGGCAACAGTCGAACCTGCATAAACCAAGACAAAGTTTGCAACGGCTACACCGACTGTCCAGGCGGAGAGGACGAGAAGAAGTGCGCGGCGCTGATAGAAGACGATTCGGCGTTAAATTACGATGAAACGAGTAGCCTTGCCAGGAAGGACATTAATTCCGAGATCAGCGTAACCAAAGATGCACATCCATCGTTCGAAGGGCAGTTTTCAGAGATAGAATCCACCACTAACAAGGACGCCCTGTATGATCAAGAAGCGGTGGAATCGTCCATCTTCGAGTCGACAACTTTGCACGCGTTTAAAGATGATATACGATTAGAGAAAGTGATAAGAGCCAATGACGAGTCTGTGATCGAGGAAGGTGGAACATTTTTCGAGAATCGCGAACACAGCAACGCTACTACGACTCTCGTTTCCGGAAGAGAAATATCGCCGAACGTGAAACACATGTTGACGCGTGGCAACTCGATCCACGTAAATGCGAAAAACGACGATAAAACGTCGATAATGAATTTGAAGAAAGAAGTGAATAATTATAACGAGAAGGGTTATTTAAATATCAGGAAAAATGGAAAATGGGGGAAATTGTGTTTGACTGGAATGGATAATCTTCTGCAAGAGAGACAAACTGTTTGGTCTATCGAGGATCTTGGTAGAGCTGTTTGCAAGGCAATTACATACCAGTAAGTATTCGGTTTATTTATTGGATGAAATATCGCCTGCTGCGGTTAAAAGATTTTGCCGTACGATACATAGGAAAGCGAGAATTTATTTGGAAGATTCGATGTAGATTTGAAATTTTACTAATGAAAAGAATTCCTCAATTGTTGGTAAAAATACTTCTAGCGTCGCAAGCAACGTGTTTCATTAGATTCTTGCAATTTGTAAGTGCAATTTCAGATTCGTTTCAAATGTGACCAATATGTACGACAACTTTCAGAGATTACGAAACCGTGGAGAAGGTGTTGGACGAAAATCCAACGTCTGTGAGATCGTACTACACACTCTCGTACAACGAGAAACCTTTCGATAAAACGATCTTGACTTTCAAGCCTTCCGAGTGTCCGACTGGCGAGATTCTCAGGGTCAAGTGCAAGAACCTTGAATGTGGGATAAGAACTCAGGCCCCATCCCAGGCCAGGTACACTCACTGAACCAGTTTCTCATAATTATATGCCGACCGGATCATTTACAAAACTATTTGTATACAAATGCATTCGAGGATAATGACCTTTGTGCCTGCATAATAGCGATGTATCGATGGCAAAACGATATTAAAAAAGATGTGCATAAAATTAGTATGATCGCGATCGTTATGGTCATCGTCGTCGTTCGAGATAAGTAACTATACCTGCTGTGATATATACGCTCGTAAATTTTTATCGAAACTCGTGAGAATATTAAGTTAGCTCCGCCGGAAAAAGACTGTCGTCTTCGTTTTTTAACGGTACTTTTCAGTAGTTTAGGATCATTCTTAAATTTCGTCGAGGGATAGTGATTACTGTGAAACGTGCTTTACCTGTAATTGGAAACGATCGGATATTAATAATAACATCGTTATTTAGAATCAAGCAGTTTTGCATTACGATGAGAAATTTGTTATACCATTGTACTCCTTTCGTTTCTAATGAAATTTTATATTTTTGAAATTATCAACGTAGCTTTTTGTTCGGTTTAGTAAAAGATTAGACCAACTCGTGTTAAGTAACTTGAAAGGTGTTTTAGTTGCGAAATGGAAATTTAAATGCCTTGATAGATTTGGTCTCTATTTTCAAGAGACATTAATTCAAAAGACTCTTGGACGTAACTATCGATTTAAAAGAATTACTGTCGACATATTTCAATTTTCATTTAAAAAATAAACAATTTTATAATCTCGTAGCTGTCACTAGACTACGGATATTCGTGCAAATTCGCATACTATGTGCATTCCGTGCAGTTTCACAGTTTCAAATTTCTCGTAAATGCATGCAAATCTATTAATTGTACATTACAATATATAAACATAATACATTGATAAAACGAACTACTTATTTAAGATGTATACATTGAAACAGATCGAATGTTTCACGACGTTGCAGGATAGTCGGAGGTGGAAGTTCATCGGCTGGAAGCTGGCCATGGCAAGTAGCTCTGTACAAGGAAGGCGATTATCAATGTGGTGGAGCTCTGATTAACGAAAGATGGATTTTATCTGCCGCACATTGTTTCTATCAGTAAGTAATAGTGTACTGTTAACTCAAATAAAGATAATTAGATCGATCGAAAGAAAAAATATCGAAAAGCGAAATATAATAAAGAGGGTACATTAAAACGAAAGATACGAAAGGACGATTCAAGTTTTAACATTAAGATCAGGCTAATCGATACACTGGAAAATATACGAACATTTTATGGAGTTGGAAAAATTGATGCAACAACCTGATGGTGTATTCCGATATCTGTCGCAGTGCTCAGGACGAGTATTGGGTCGCAAGAATCGGAGCGACTCGCAGAGGAAGCTTCCCGAGCCCGTACGAGCAAGTGCTACGTTTAGATCACATATCCCTGCATCCTGATTACATCGATAACGGATTCATAAACGACATAGCGATGCTGAGGCTCGAAGAACCAGTCACATTCAGCGACTACGTTCGACCAGTGTGTCTTCCAGAGTCAGAACCAAAAAGTGGCACTACGTGCACCGTTACCGGATGGGGACAGTTATTCGAGATCGGAAGAATATTTCGTAAGTTACGATTATTTGTCAGGTATTCGTAAAAACAAAAGAAAAACTAGCCACGTAAAGATACACTGGTCTATAACGATATACCAAAAGTATAAAAAAAATATGTTTCCTCTGAGCAGCGGATACCCTGCAAGAAGTGCAACTTCCGGTAATCTCCACGGAGGAGTGTCGAAGGAAAACTTTGTTTCTTCCATTGTACAGGATAACGTCAGGAATGCTTTGCGCAGGTTTGAAGGATGGTGGAAGAGACGCTTGCTTGGGAGACAGTGGTGGGCCGTTGGTTTGCTCAGGATCAGACAACAAGTACACCCTGCACGGTAAAAAGAAGAAAAGATATATTATTATCAAACAGCATATCTTTACCATCTTGAAATATTGATCTGTACTTAGTAGCCTTGTCATACTGTTCAGATATTAATTGGTCCTTCTTTCCAGGCATCACTTCAAATGGATATGGTTGCGCGAGACCTGGAAGACCTGGAGTCTATACGAAAGTACACCACTATCTTCCTTGGATCGAGTATGCGATTTCCAGGGAAGATATCCGATCCTCGATCGCTTCGTGCAAAGGTCATCGATGTCCTTTAGGCGAATGTCTACCGAAATCTCGAATATGCAACGGGTTCTTAGAATGTTCGGACGGTAGCGACGAACGTAATTGCCCTCTTAATTTGTAGTGAAATGAAGACTGATCGTATTTATTTGTCCAATCACGCGCATTGAACGAACAAATCAGTTACTAGAGAATTTTATAAATTTACGTTTATAATATAATATTAAAATTCGTATTTACGACGATATCGCGATCATAATATTATATTGAAAAGGTATAAATTTATAAAAGACAAAAATAGTGAAAATATTATCTGTCAATTACAAGTTGGAATGGAAGGGACAAAACGTTAGGGAAAAGACGAATGTTTAAATAAATATAAAGGTAATTAATAGAAACGTAGGTATTAAGTAAACGTCTCACGATTAAAGTGTGAAATTTTCCATCGTTGGAAGTGTTGCTGTGAAATATTAAATATTCGTTGATTTTACATAGATGTGCAATACATAGCTAGAAATCAAAAGTTGAAGATAAATGTTAGAGAGTGTATCGTACATCGGTGTGAAATATTTGTAAAGAGTTTCGATTATTAATGATAATTAACGATACTGTTAACACTGATTTATACTCTTCTATACAATTATCTTTGCGTTTGATAGTTAACATTAATACGTTTGAGTTATATGAATAAATCTACTAATGACTATGCGTTAGAAGATTGTTCGCGACTCGATTCGTACGAAAATAGCACGGATAGTCGCGAAGAATAGTATTGCTGAGTCACTCGTGATCGACTCAGAAATACTTGCTAGCATAGGGATATATAGTCGAACCTGGCATTTTGATTCTTTTGCTTAAATTACGAAACGAATCTCAAGGCCACGTTATATCGTGCTCATTACTTCAGTCTCTTCGTAAGTTCGAAGATTTTTAACGTAACGTGTATGTATATATGTCGTATCTAATTATGTAAAAAGATTCTTTTGATGCTAATAAACAAGAATTTTCACAAAAGAAAAGAAAAGACGCCGTTTACGGAAGTCCCAAATCATTGAATCAAGACTGTACAAAACTTTCAACGTCTTTCATCTTCTTCTTAGTAGGAGAGCCACGAGCAAATTGTAATAACAAAATTGTATTAGCTATTAATAATTACAGTGACTCGTGATTGAGTATTGAGAGACGTTTTCTTCGATGACACTCGAAATCAGATGAATTGTCTGACCATAAAGATACGGAGATATCTTTCAATATGGTGTAGTAAGAAATTTAATAAATTAAATAATTTCTATCTGTATATAATAGTCTGTGCATTTAGTAATAATTTGAATAATCAAGAACATGATATAGCATGTTAGAAAAGTAGTTAGAAAAGTAGAATTTATGTATGCGAGCCTGATTCGATGAGAAGGGACTGTAATTTCTTGTTGTATCTAAAACACTTTAATCGTGTTCCAAGTTGTTGAAAAGCGAAAAGAATTATGAATACAAGATTTGAGTGGAATATTAATTTGTTTTATTAGGACAATTAGAAATAGCACTGAAAATCATATTCAGAAATAAATATCAATTATTCTCCATATAATACTCTATCGATATTAAAACGAAGGCTGATAAAGATTACGGCATTACAGGCAGTGCGATCCTTAATGGTAAATAATCTCAGTCAAACGATCCTCATCCTAAAACCAAACGGGCATAGTACTACATACGTACATATGTAAGTATATAAATTATAAAAAAGGTCGTGTCTCTTTCGAGTTTTTCCTTCGTCTTTTTCTCTGGTAAAAAAGGATCGAACTGCTTCATTGTTATCCTATTATGATCATGTTATTCTAGATCGTGCCTTTAAGTAGTTCTAATATTAGATTATACCTACGATTAGCACAATATACCAAGAGGTAAAAATCACAATGTAATTTACGTCATGTTCAAACAGCACGCTTTTAAAATTCAATATCGAGTTTACAATTCATTTATCGTTTCGGGGAATATCTATCCTTTGCGGCTGGATCATCGACACTTTAGCACAACCGTTATTCCTGATCATTTTTCATCTCACGTGGTCTCGAAAAATACCTTTCGAGTCTGAAAGTTCTCAAACGCACGCGCATAAACGATCGATTTGTTTCTCATTAAATAAATTCAGCGTCCCATTCTATTTACACATCATGAACATCGATGAACACGGAAGACTCGCAAACTGAAAGCACAAACTTGAAAATTCAATGAAAAGTGTATTATAATATATACTGGCACGAAATAATTCCTTTCCAATCAGTTACGTTCTACGTGATTGAATTAATGCATTCTATACTATAAGGAAACGATATGTAAAGTATTAATGGTGCAAAAGTCTCAAGTTATCTCGTTCTATATAGGAAATACACTCTAGGCATAAATCCAGCACACTAAAATAAGAAAAAAAGTTCAGATAAATATGAGCTGGTTTTCCAGTTACAGCTTGTTTTGTATTACAACAAATCTTTTCATTTTCTTAGCTAACACATACGTCGTGCAGGCTCCATTTCTCAGTCAGCTCACTCTCCAGACCCAAATTTGCTCGATTATTAAATACGGAGACATTTGAAATCTGTAGTTTATAAAACGCTAATTGACGATGTTAAAACATTCATTACCGTACCAAAGTTGCTTACAAATCCGTGCAACGTCTCACCTGTTCCATGATGAGACGTACTCACGCCTATATCGAAGTTGGAGGTAGTTCACTTCAAAATAATCTCTGACGGTAAGTAAGTAATAAGACAAAACAAGATGTAACTCGAAAACAAGATCATATCAAAGAGTTTATGTTATAAACTTTTCTTTTCCTCTTTTAGCGTAATGTATCCACCTCTGCTATATTTCCCACGTACAACGAAATACATACTCTGTACGTCAAGCCATTAATATATGACATCGCTTAATATACAGAGTAACTTTGTTAATGAGTCGCGAATGCTTTCTGTTTCTGCTTCATCGGAAACTGTTTGTTTGACATGTACGGCGCTCGCTTTTCTCCCACCGAAAACGTCGAGTGGCAATTCCATAGCGAGTAGATTGAAAAATCCCGAGAAACGATTCCGTCGGTGTGGACAAAAGTTCGTTCACAATAAAAAATGGTGTAAATGTATAAAAGGTCCGATTCGAAGGTAGAAAAACTTTTGTCCATAACTTTATACTTAAATCGAACCTACAGTCTCCTCGTATCAGCACCAACGTGCGTTAATAACACATTCGTGAAGAATATCGATCCCATTTTCGTCCCATTATCACCGTGATAGACGAATCACAATTACTAGGGATCTAATTAAGACTATATTACAAAATATCGAGCCACAGGCGGTCGAATAACCGCGTGTTTTTATACATAAAATTTAATAAGGCTCGATCGATTGAGCGTCGTTTTAAGCGTGATTCTACAATTTAGTTCGGAATGGGGTCGATGATCTTCACGAAATGCGGCAAATACCTTCGAAACAATATAACAGAGCTGCGAATATTTAAAACATTCGATCGATTTATCTAATTCAGTTCTATACTTTCGAAAAGTGTATACTCGCATCTCTCCTTTAATTCTTCGCCCTTTTTCTAAAACCTTAAATTAATTAAAGAAGCAATAAATAATAGATCGACGAATCCTCTGACGATGATACCTCTAATGAACTGTACTCCTTTTAGACAGACATTTAGTTAGGCTATGGATAATTGAGTCATCATCGAGGCTTTAGCCCAGTGAGTCGACAGCGATCGTACTGAGACCTTTGGAACTGATGGTCGTTTTGAATTGCTCCGGTATGGGATATTCCGCCTGTAAAAGTGCGAAATAAAAAAGATTAAAAGACATTTTTTTTTTCTTTTTTTGGTCAAACTCTTTCACTATGTTTTACGAACAGTTTCATTAGATCATGAGAAAAGTTTCAAGTACAAAGGGAACAACTACATTCCTATTTATGCTCGTAGAATAAATTAAGAAAATTTGTACAAATGTGTACAAATTACCAGTACACGTCAAACTTACATAATCTCCATTTCCTCGAGGTACCATAACGTTCATCTCGCTAGACTTGCTGCTAATGAATTCCACATCTAATGAATCCGAGCTCAAATACATCTGACAACCGTCTGTTTTGTCAATAGAGATCGTGGGGACTTTTCCTAATACCTGCAATCAAAGTAGAAAAAAAATTTATCGAATGCCATAGTCTGTGAATTATCGAAGAATTTCATACATCGTCAATCAATTCTACGACAGCAAAAATTGTCCCTTTACTTGAATCTCGATTCGAACGCGTATCGTTCCATCCTCTTCGTAATTTCCAGAATATTACTCGTGTTATAACATCGAATGTAATACGAAAATATCGAAGATATTGAAATATTGCGTATACTAAGATAATACTTTTTAATCGGTTTAAAGCGACAGTGATAAAATCAGAAAATAACAAACATATAATTGTCAGGTTTTCCTCTTGTGATGTTCGATTAGAATATTATAAGGTCTTGCGATCTTGCCTAATTATCTTCTGATCTATAATTATGTACACACTTTATATGTGTACACTATCGATATTATACACGTCGAGAGGCAATAACTGCCGATCGCAGTTTCTTTCGATTTTCCACATTTCACGTAGTGTAGGCAGAAATAATCGTAGATGGAATTTGATGAAATTTTCGGAGCCTATCGTTGAATTTTCACCTCACACTCGACACAAACTTACTCCCGTTATCAAAATGCATTGGCAATTCGGTAAGATTTCAGTCTTTGTATTTCCTTTCACCTCCTTTATTCCAATTAACGTGTAATATTCGAATTGAACGAAGCTGTTTCATTGACAAAACTTTGCACGAATGATATTCGTTAATAAAACTTGGAAATGCAAATCGTTGTTAAACGCTTGATCGCTGTACGCAGGCGGAAATCTCGAACCTGTGCGAATGATCTGCGAAGTTGACTGGAAGGAATGTCCAAAAGCAATCGCAAATTACGTGTGGAACGAGATCGTAACCGACGTTCTCGACTGCTTGAGGAACGAAAGCATAGTCTGGCGGGTACAGAGAATTATTATTTTTGACTTGTGCAATGAATATCGAATTAAAGGTCTATGAATACATGAACATAGCGGTCAGGTAAGTTCTTGAAACTGATAAGACTTTTTATATCTGAACGCTATGTTCAAAAAAAAAAAAAAGAAAAAAAAGATAGAAAAAGATAGAAAAAGATAAATAACGAGAAAGATAGTATTTATCAAATAAAGATATTCTATTAATCGCTTTAATAATATTCAAAGGTACTGGCCGTAATATCTATGTGCGTGGTATTACTACGAATAATATATATCAAAGGGAAACGCGGTAACGACGCGTCCATTGATAAAGATGTGCTTAATAAAGTTGGATACAAAGTGGAGGACCTTGAACTGAAAGTCAATATACTAACGTATAAGCTGCAGTATGGTACTTGGCCTTTACCCCATCAGGTTCGGAAATCCAACTTTAAGAAGAATCTAAGAAACCTTAGACTAACACTGTCCAATCCGAATGATCGTAATAATTGGATAAAACATGTATTGCTAAGGTGCTAAAAAGATGTTTAAAAAAAAGAGAAAGAGAGAGAGAGAGAGAGAGAGAGAGAAAGAGAAAATGAAAGAAATAACGGTTATCTTGGTCTATCTTTTTAGCCCTAGACACAACGAATCGTACTTCTCGTGTTCAAAGTATTACCCTTCGGAACATCGTCTGACCGAATTGTTCGATGCAAAGAAAAAGAGGATGTACCCTGATCTGCGGAAGGAAAACTTGCCAGTCGAATACAGCAGCAAATCATCGAAAAGTAGCAGCGATATATCCGTAAAGTACGGTCACGCGTTCAGAATTATTGTTGCAAGTATATTATCGAATGACAACTTAATAAATTCTATTTTCAGGCTAAATTCTATGTTCAAAAATGCGATCGATCGAAAGCACCGTGAGACATTGAGAAACGAAAATTTCCAAGTGCATCATAGGAACGCGATATCGGTTCCGTTGTTTCCGAGGAAGAGATACGCTAAATGTGGGAAAAGATCGAGGAGAAGCTCGAAGAACGCTGAAACTATCAAGATGAGCCCGGCGTGTAAGAAATTCACGAAAACTATAGACGATTGCAAAAAGTATTTGAAAGAGTTACACGACAGCAACAAAAATCTTGGATTAGTCTGTAGCTCGTCCGAGATGAGCAATGAATCGTCGATAAAAAATTTTTGGTCGGATACACAGGTAAAAATGAACAAGTTATTATATTTGGAGACAAAATTGTCCGAGGTCGTCAATGATTGTGTTTAATCGTATTACAGCAACGAAGAAGCGTTCGAGGAAAAGATGCGATTAACGTGAGTGAAAGGCTTGAAAAGTGTAATAGAAATGAATACGGAAAAGAGGAAAATAAAGAAGAGAAGAAGCTTGAAAAAATCAATAGAAAGCAGCCGATTAACGAGCAACGTTTGGAACTATCGAATGCGATTTATCCAGTTCTACAACTGATTGACAAACGTTTATTGCCCCCAAAAATGAACATATTTTGCGCTGATGTGTTTCCCCAGCAACTGACCTCGAAGATGTTGGTTTCGTGTGAACCGAGGAAAAAACTGAAAACGTCTCAAGAAGCCCTGTACCAAGTGAAAAAGAAATTAGAGAGCTTGCACAATGTTCTGCGTATGTACGAGTTGCAAAACATCGAGATGAAAGCCTCGGAGAAACAACGAGATAATAATAGCGATAAAATGAACAGCGTTTGCAAAAACATCGTGAGTACGCTTGTCTCAGTTACGACAGACACGGACAATTTGAAGAACACGGAAAATATCGAAATAAAGGCCAATAGAAATATCAGGAGTAAAGAAATGCAACGGACAACTTCCAACAGCTCTGAACAATACGAAAGCGATGAAACAACCAGAAGTTCAGTAGCGTCTATTCGAAATTATTCAAATATGTTCAACGCGTATCATGTAAATAACATAAATGATCCTTATTGTCTGCTTACAAGGAACGACGAGGCAAAAATATCTTCTACGAATGACCACGAATTACAGATAATTCCAAATAATCAGGCTGTATATTCTTCTGGCGTAAAATATGAAAGAATACCTGAAAGAATATATTATACTATTTCATCGGATTCCTCTGAAGAAAAGAAAGTTAAGAAAAAAACGGTAATATCAGAAAATTTCATACCGATACCAGACGATGTGTACACGAAGGGCAATCGAGCGAAGCCATTCAGTGGCTCTGATCAATATCCAGTTACAATGGAAACTGACGAGGATGCGATAATATCAGCAGCTTCGAGCCATACAGAAGTATCAAAGGATAGTGAATTAGATGACAAGCCGACAGCGTTATTACTTCAAGAAGCCCTTCGATTCAAAAGAGCATTATTAACGCGTGTCGAACTGGAAAAGATATGCTACATAGACGAAAAGAAGGAAGAGATAAGTAACGAGTCTGTATCGGATCACGGTAGGTACTCTTACGTTAACAATAATCTACAGTCGAAGTTCTTGGATATTATATCGGAAGAACAATCTGTTAGCAGTTCCACCGAGAAAAACAGTAAAACTTATATGTTTTTCAATTTGAAACAAGACCTTAATCAACGAAATGAAATTAAAGACTTGGACACGTGTAAAAAATATTTGGACTCGAAACAAAACCTTGGTTCACCCTCTGAATATTTTAGTTTTAGTAATATTATTCAGGAAGGAAATGAGATTAAAAATAAGCTATCTTTACCAAAGCATAACCACTTTCAAGGGAACGAAATAGTTCCAAGTAATTTACGGATAAGATATTTAAACGACATGTTGAACGAGTCTGATGAAAAGCTTATAAAATTTGTAAGTTGTTTAAATACGACAGAAGCGAGTGTGAACGAAGAAAGGACATGTTACGACTATGATCATGAGAAAGAGAATTTCAAAGAGCATTTCACGCGCATAAATAATATAAATGAGTTTATGAATCGGGACACGAATAGCGTAGAATTGTTTTCGCAAAACTTGGACGAAACTGCTTCATCGGAGAAAGTTGAAAATTCGAACAACGAGATAACTTCCAATTTTCTGAACTCCGAATCTCTGAAACAATGTACCAATGTTAGAATTACTAAAGACACAGGAACTGATATATCGAACTTGAAATTGAGTACATTGGATAATGAAAAATACGAAGATCAAGAAATTTTATCGTGCAATTCGAATTTAACTTTAAAAAGAAATCCTGGTGCGTGTTCGTTAATCGAACAAACGTTGCTCCATAGAAACATAAATAAAACATTAGAAATGCACGGTATAGTTAAAAACGAAGATCCAATGTATGAATTATCAGCCAGCGAGAGTAAAGAAACTTCGTGCGGAACAAATTTAATACGGGATTCATTAACATCCAGCATAAATCAGTCCAATGATTCTAACATTCCGGAACCACCATCTGTAACAGTACTGATTAACAAGTCATTAGACAAAGAAAAGTTAGGATTAGATTGGTTGAACGTCAATAATAATTTCAGTGACGATACTATCAATGAAAAAGATGTAAAAACGTGTTCAACAAACACAATCACAATTCAGAAATATGGTACTACAAACATGAATAACTATAATAAAACAGAAACTAATTACAACGAACACGATCACTTTCAAGATGAAAAGAATTCAGTTACACAAAATCTATTTACAAATCTGAATAAAAAAGAACTAATAAAAGAGACGGATTTTTTAAAATCTTACTCCAATCTTATTTCTCCGCACAGCAGTATGTATTTTACAGATGAAGCCTCGAGTTCTACTACGAAATTAAATAATACACATTCAAAAAACCTTAAAGGCTACTTACACTCTAATCTGTGTACGCAAAATAACAAGGAAAATACATTACACAGCAAGCATGAAAATTTAAAAGGTATTGCAAGCGACACTAAAAGAACGAATATCATGGCCACTGACAAATCTTTTGTCAAACTTTCCAATGATGAATTCGATATGAAACAAAATTTATCAAAATTCCAAAATAAAATGTCTAATAAAAATTCATTATCTTCTAAATCTTGTACAGAGAATATTGATACAATTAAAGAAGCAAAGGCTTTAAAAGAAGAAAAGGAAATTCGGAAGAATAGATCTCCAGCGGCGTATGCCGTTGATAATTATAGTTTATTATTTGCAGAAAATGTCCCGATTGACGAAACACTATCCAATTTGGCAGAAAATGTTTCGATTGACGAAACACTACCCAATTTGCCAGCGAATGATATGAAAACGTTACATCTAGAACAAAATATTATCTCGTCAAATTTATCTCCACGACAAGTTTCTTCAAGAGAGACGAGAAGAGATAATACAATGAAAAGAACGAACGCGACAATGAAATCGTGGAGCCACGAAAACTATACTCCAAAATCCGAGAAACTGAAAAGATCAATAGCTTCACGAAACATAAAAGGTTTAAAATCCGATTTGTTGAACACTGTTCAAATCAAAGCAGAAGATAGTACAAACACAACATATCCAAAATTAAGTGATTTATCTGCAGAACCTAGATGTAACACAGGAGATAGTGTCAAATTAGATAGAAAACGATCCCGATCGCAAGTAAGTTTTCGAACGAACGAATCGCCGAAAGAAATAACACCACGGTCACACGAATACCCAAGCAATACAAATTTTATAAATTACACTCAATCGTTAGAAACTAAATTAAAATCAAATGGTCCTTTAAAATCTTTGTCACCAACGCCGAGAACGTCTTCAAAATCTTGCATACCGATTTTAAAAAGTCGACTGGAAGCAGCTCGAAAGACTGAAAATGAATCGCGACCTAAGAGTCCGATGAGAGGACCACTGACGATGACTATGTTCTGGAGGGATAGTCCGAGTAATAAGGATCAAAATGAAATAGATGAAATTCAAGTGGAAGGTAAATCAAAAAATACAGATTCACGTATAGAAGAGGTAAACTCTTGCGTAGGAAAGGTAAATGACGCTGATAATCATAAGCAAGATTTAATAAAAACATCACAGATCGCACGAAATATAAATGAAAATGCTGGCAATGATATTATTACGCAAGAACAAATGGTGATATATGTTAACATATTCACAAAATATGACCACGCTTCGACAAAAATAGTGGATCCAAATAAGTTTTTGGAATATATCAAAAATAGAGAAGTAAGTGTACAAAAGATGGAAGAAAATCAAGGCAATAAAAAGCACGATGAACTTCGAGGGATTTCCACAGAAAATGAGAAGGATAGGATACATAAAATCGTTACTGTTGTTTCTACCGTCGTAAATGGTAACGAGCTGGACCAAACTACGTCAACTAATTTATCAGTACCGAAAACACAAAAGGACTCGGTGTCGAACATTTTATTAAATTCTAAATTTAAAAATTTATGTTTCTTGTCTGTCGAGCAAAAAGAAGTTGACGTAACTGCTAAACCTTCTGTTATCGATACAAGTACATCCATATCGGATTTGGAGAATATTTCAAAAACGACAAAAAGAGCGTTAAACAAATTTCAAATATGCGGAACACCTAAAGAGTTAAGCAATGAGGAATATATAGCTCTATTAGAAATTCTTCACCAGGAATCGAATTTTATGCATCTAGAAGAATTGCAAAACATTTGTAAGAAGCTTACGTCGAAACATTAAAAAATATAAGTAAAATTAGATCATAAATAATATTATTTATCTATATTTATAAAATTCATCATTGATAATGTCTATTATATTTTTGTAATATACACTTTTAATACAGAACATGAACATCGTATAATTATGTTGTATATATATGTACTCATTTGGAAATAAATATATTTTTCACATGATGTTAGAAAGCATTGTATGTTGTTGCATCTTTTATAGATAATGGGAATAAATAACATACCTGCATTTGTACACTCTGACAATTGACGAATTCGATGCTCGACACAACAGAGTCGAAAACAACGGATGATTTACGGCATGAATCCATAACGATGGAGTTAACTTTGCCTTTGACAACTAAAGTACTATCATGACATCGGAACATATAGATTACGTTGTTCATCTCCACGTTGTCAATAAGCAGATCTTTATTGCCTTTGTGATATTCCTATAACAAAAATTAAATTTCGTCAATACAGAATAAACTAATAGAATGAAACAACAAAATGGTATTACTTACCACAAGCCACTTCTTTCCATCTCTAGTAAATACAGGAGGTTTATCAATTGGTGCATTTGCAGGTGGCACTGTTTTTGCAGATATAGCATTATCTACAACTGGTGCTTTAAATGG